GGTACTCAAGTACCTCAGGGTCTTCCTTCTTGGCTGAAACATGTCATGTCTCATCAGTCTGGTCTTCAATCAACTCAAGTGGACGTTCGAATGTGAGTTGGTGTTCGAACATTCTTGGCTTGGTCCAATCTTTTTCAATTTTGCTCCAGAATATGCTGGTGTTGCATGAAAGTCTAATATTCATTGCATTTAGTCCCTTGTACAATTTATGCCCGGAAATGTCATCATTTAAACTTCATCAAAGTATAATTAGTCTTGAAAGGGCATAGTAAATTACTAATTTTAACTACTAATCACTAGGGCCATAACTTCTAGAGCTTAAATTTTCCTAAGCATTAAAAAGGTCCCTATGTTGGGCTTTAGCCCTTTGAAAAAGGGCCAAGCTAGGGCTATAACTTCTAGAGCTTAAATTTTTCTAAGTATAAAAAGTCCTTATGCTGGGACCAAGATCCTAAAGAAGGGCCGAACAACGGCCATAATACCAATAGCCTAAACTCATCTAAATTGGAACCAAGTTCAGTAAAGAAAGGTCGAGGGAGGCCACAAGGACTTGAGTGATCTTTTATTTTTGTACAAATCACAAAAACTGAAGAGGAAATAGAAACCAAAAAGAAAATGAGATCCAGGAAAAGAAACTTTCATTACACTTCAAAAAAGTTACAAAATATAGAAATTTTACAGTGTGTACAAAATATTTCCAATAAAAACAGAAGTTTTCTATAGTTTTTTCAGGATGAAGGAAGCTGCTGGGAGGAGCTAGGCATAGAATGGAGAGAATTAAGCTCTGAGGATTGAGGCACCCCAGTAACAGCATGCCAGCCCTTACTGAAGTACGCCTTCTCTAAGAGTGGGACTTGCATAGCTAAGTCAATCTCCGCCTTCTCCATCCCTTGTTCATATGCAAAATGCTCTCGATCCTTAGCCTCAACTTTAAACTTCTCAAGTTCTTCCAGAAGGCTAGCATAATCAAGTTAAGATTGAGGCAGCTCCACGTTTGCTGCATGCTCAGACTCCTTTAATCTCTATAAAGAGCTTCTTGTTTTCCTTTGTCAGTCTATGCATTTGAGCCTAAAGAACCAAAACCTCTTTGCAGAGCTTGGCATATTCCTCATCCATAGACTCTTTCTTCGCTAAGGCATAGACTCGGGCATGAATAACATACTTCATGGATTTGTCTTTCCTTACTATCCTCGCCCCTACCTCATGAACTTTTTTGAAGCCCCTACAAATCAAAAGAAAAGTAAGAAGTTTGGACAGAATGCTTCTCAACATCTTAGAAAATGAAAAATAAAGGGAAGAGGAAAAATATCATAACCATCTGTTGGATCGCTTAGCAAGTAATTTCATCATCAGAAAAAGCCTTATTTGTGGCTAAGTCTCAAGGAAGAATTACCCCACTAGCAATCCCCATAGCTATGTTGAAGTCCTTAGCAGCAGATTCCTTCACTGTAATCTCTCTCCCTTTTGCTCTGAGAACAAGTCAGAAGCAAGGAGTAGTTGGCGTCGCAGAAGGCACTATTTCAGACTCTGTAACTTTACGTTTCTTGGGGGTAGGGTCTTTGAAAAGCTCAAGAATTGAATTAGGAAGGTCCTTGAGGGAATGAACAGAGATAGAAAGAGGGAGCTTGGTAGGAGTAGAAGAATCTGGGGCTTGAATCGCTAGTTCCTCATCATGTTGAGCCATGTTGCTCAGCTCAGAAGGAATAAACTCAGCAGAAGCTTCAGATTCAGGCTCTACAAATATTGTGTCGGCAGGAACATGGGGATATCTTGGCAAAGAAGTTTTGGCAGGAATGGATGAATCAACAGTAGATAAGAAGTCAAGAAAGTTCTTGACTGTCCTGTTTCTTCCAGAAGAACCAGGCAGAGGTCGCTTGCAGGACCGAGGGGTTGGATCCCGAGCTAACTAGATAGCTTGGCAATCTTTAGCAAGAGCAGAGTTGGGCCTAAGGGGGACAACAATAATAGACATGTAGGTGGGAGTGTACCCGAGTAGTGTGTGAGCAGCATGATAAAAGAGGGAGTCATTGTAGTCCCACACTTTCTTTAACTCTTCCATCTTGACAGCTCACTCAGGGATCTTTCCCTTCACTGTCTCACTTTCAAGATATAAAATAACATATACTAAAATAGAAGATAAATAAAGCAAGAAAAGCAGAGTAAAAACATCAATCACCCGGTGCACCTTCCTCATAAGGGCAACGGTAAAAAGGAGTAGCAACAACTACGTATTCTCAGTTCCCAGAGACAAAAACCACATCATTCTCATGGCCCTTGTTTGAGTCTGGGAGGTGAGTCACCAGATAACGGTCCTTCTTTCTAACAGTCAGGTTGTAGTTGTCCCTAGTAAACTTGATAATATAGTAGTACAGAATCTCCCAAAGGCCCAAGCTTAGGTTTAGCAATCTGTTGAGAGCATCCACCCCCCATGATGATTCTGAAGAAGTTGGGACAACACTGTATTGGGCAAAGCTTCATCGCAGAAAGTACCCAAAGAAGAAGGGGGTCAAGGGGAAAGCGAACCCCATCCTTTGTGATCGCTCGTGTGTGAATAGGAATGCTCTCCCTAGTACCTATTAAAGGTTTATCACTGCCAGTGACTCGTATGTCAACATCGTCAAGAATGTTGTATTTGGCTTTGAAGGTAGAAATCTCAGAAGAAGTAAGAGGAGCCTTAGCAGAAGACGATGAAGGTGCAGAAAGAGGTAAAGAAGCAAAGAGGTAAGGAAATCTGAAGTTGAGAAGGTAAAGTGGAGAAAGGAATGAAGAAGGTCGCTTATAAAGGAGCGAACTGAAGTCTAAACAGCAATATTTAAATACAAGACATGCCGCCAAAATAAGAGGAGATGTCCCAAAAGTATGTGCAATGATGGATTTGAGGGCATGAAACGACTGACAGACGAAAATCGTATGACAAACGTTTCCTGGGGGCAAATGAACATGGTTGCTCCCTTTATGCCACATGTAAAAAACATTTAATGATCTCACGTGAGGGTGACAAGACCAGTCACGTGAGAAAGGTACCACAAGTCAACTATCAGCCAGGAGCATAGCTGTTTAAAGAGCTCAGGAAGAAAGAGAAGACGTCGGTCCTCATCATGACCAAGCCGTTAAAACAATAAATGTGATGCTAAAAAGATGTCTCAAACTCAAGCATTCTAGTTGAACGAATAGGCATGATTATAGGCTCAGCAGAAGAAATTCAACAACTTCCTAAACAGAATCGCCTGATTGAAGGAAGGTGTATCATCTTATATCAAAAATCATGGAAACCCTACCTAAACAAAGTTCTATAAAAGGCATAATGAGCCAAGGTGAAAGGTACGCTGAACTCTCCTTGTCTTCTAGCAATTTACTCAGTTCCATTATTGACTTAAGCATCGGAGTACCTTCGAACGAAACATTTCGATCTTGAACAATTTTTTTGTTTTGTCGGAAGGAAAGACGGAGAGATCAAGTTCAGAGCTCAATTTTACCAGAAAGATCAATCCTTCGTTCCTATAGGAGGTATTCTCATTTTTTGCCTCTTACAGATAGGAAATTGAAAGCAGAGGGAATCAATGATTCTTATCTCCGATCCTTGCTTTATTGATCCTGAATTAGTGATTGACCCGATCTCTATGGTCTGAAATTGGTGATAAATGTTTTGTCTCATTCATTGTAGCATTGGCCTTCAATTCTTCATATGTCATTCCTTTTCATGGTGAAAACAAAGAGGGGTGTCCATGGGCCGGGTTACCCACCAGTCCTGTTATTTGGCCTAAAAAAAATAGATTCAAAGTTCGATAAGTCGGATAGTTGGCCTGCTCGAACCCGAGCCTAATATCATTAAAAAGAGGGCTAGAGTTTGCCCCAAAACCCATTACCCAGCCCAAGAGCCCGCCCGTTAAGCCAGCCCCCGCAAGCCCGACCCAGTTCACTCTTCTATTGAAAAAAGTTATATTTTGAGACCATTAAATTTAAAACTTTGAAATAAGTCTCCCAATATCGAAATTTTGAAGTTTTAAAAATTTAGATATTATAAATAATGTATTATTTTCTTTTCCATGTATTAAACATATAAATTTTAAATGGTAAAGTAATACAAATGACAGATAAATTAGTAAGTGTCAACCTAGTTGAAATTTATTCATTCTATTGTATGTAGTTCATTATTTTATTTTTATCCATTTTAACTTTACTTTTGATTCAAAAATATAATTTATATAAATATTAAGTTAAAAAAATATTCATTATTTTTAAATAAAGATGTATATAAAAAGTCCGCAAGCAAGCCCGCCCACAGACCCACCTAATAGACTCACGGGTTGGACTGCGGGTAGCCTACCCTTACCCGAAGCCCGGTCTTGCCCGCCCAATAACTCACTTAGGTAAGAGTTTGGGCCTACACTACCCAGCCCGACCCGAACCAAGGACACCCCTAATAACAAGTAATACGGTTTAGAGGATTTTTACCTTACGTTGACCTCTATTAAAATTGTTCATTATCGTTATGCGCTGGTCTTTTCTAAAGGTTATTCCGTCGGGGTCCACTTAATCCACTCACCTTATTACCACTATGTTTCTACTGCTTTTCACTAACCTTTTTCCACGGGAATTACTTTTCCACAATAGTAGCTGACACCACCAATTCACTAAAACTTCTAATCTAGAGTGGATGAATCCTTTCCATAATCGCTGATTGTAACCCCTGCTCAAAACATTTTGCTTTCTTTGCTTCAATTATAATATAATCACCAGCATGATGAGATAACTCTGTAAAACATGCTTTATACTCAACTATTACCATAGTATTTTCCAAGAAATTAAGGAAATCCAAACCTGTATTATCCCGTATACTCTCAATGAAATGCTTACCATATTGATGATTTTCTGAAATCTATCCCAATTCCTTCCTTTCTCTAATTCTCACCATTGATCCGCTTCCCATAGAAATAAATAATTTGTTAAGCTACTCGCAAAGTTGATGGGATTTTCATTGCATCCATATATTATTTTACTTGTCGGAGACAACTTTCCACATCCAATGGCTTTATCGTTCCTTGAAATGTTGGTAGACGTTTCATAAATCCTTTCAAAACTATCAGTTGTCTATCTCCGGGCTCTCCTGGATCAACTAGGTGTTGTCTTTCCTCATTCACCACAGGTGCATTCAGTGGTGGGGGTACTTCCCTATTTCTACTTGGTAGATCAGGCTCTGGTTGCCTTGCTTCATTCTCGGGATTCCTTAATATATCAGTCCTATACAAGAGATTACGTTGACCTTAAACAAAGCACTGAGTTAATGCTACATTGCTACATTCAGAGTTATATCCTTGTCATCCAACGGTGTAAGTGAGGTAAGTGACTTAGAGACCTATTGAGTTTAGTATGGTTTTGGACTTAGTTTATAATTGGACTTTAGCATTACTCTCCCATTTACACTTAGAAAAAATGTTTTTGAAGCAAACAATATTAATCTTGAAACACTATTACCGTTTGATATAAAATTCACTAGAACTGATATGACGCATATGAGAATGAAACATTATCAATCTCTGAGAATTGTCATTTTCCTCATCTCTTTACCCACTACTGAAATCAATAATAGCTTCCATTTTGCTAGCAATCTATGAACCAATCTCAACAGTCCACTTCCAATTTGATCCTTGATTGACACTCCCCACAACTTATGGATCGAATCATGCTTTTGATTCAATTAAAGGCTAAGTTTGCTATCTATAGCTTAAAAGAATCCTTGTCTATCATTTAGCCTCTACCCTTCATGGCCGGCCTTTCTCTTTTGTTTTAGAAAGAGAGTCCAGACCAATTAAGGAAATCTCTGGTAAGGTTTTTCATTTGTCTTCCTCTTTAATTGCCTCAACCCTTCAAATAAAGCTCTCTTGAAAACTAAGTGAGCACCTAATGTGCACCCTGAAGAAATTAACAATAAGACTTAAACCTCTTCGCTCAAAAACATTGAGAAGAGATGCGGAGTTCTATTCATATATATACATACATTTGATACATGATCAGTATACTTGAAAGGTATACACTTGATAAGAACTTTGATAGACTCTATCATGAAGTGATATTTCTATGCTTAGTCCTTGTCTTTATCACTTGAGATATCTCTAGCATCATTATCCTTATCTTTTCCATGCTTTGTGTTGAGATCATGTGAAGTATTTATGTGACTAAGTGCAGCAAGTGCTGCATCATGTGAACAGAGTCCAGCAGCAGGGGTTGCATCAAGTGAATAGTGTCCATGTCCAGCAGCAGGTGCTTTACGTGAACAGTGTCCATGGGCTCCAATACTCCCCCTCAAGTTAAGGTGGGATGAGGACATTACACCCAACTTGCTGCGAAGAGAAGAAAACACTTCACGGGACAAAGGTTTTGTGAACATGTCACTGATTTGATCAGCAGATGGAACAAAGTGAGTAGTAATAGTACCTTGGGCCACTTTTTCTCTAACAAAATGATAATCCAACTCAATGTGCTTAGTTCGAGCATGGAAAACAGGGTTGATAGAGAGATGAAGAGCCCCCAAATTATCACAAAATAAGGAATAAGGACGAGGTAGGTTGATGCCCAATGCACGAAGAATGTAAGTGGTAAAAGTAATTTTAGCAGTTGTGACTGCAAGAGCACGATATTCGGCTTGAGTGCTTGAACGTGCAACAGTTGGTTGTTTCTTGGCTCCCCAGGACACAAGATTAGACCCAAGAAAAATGGCAAAACCAGTGGTAGAGCGACGGGTAAGTGGACAACCAGCCCAATCAGCATCAGAAAAAGCATAGAAATCAAGAGCATTTTTCTTGAGCAAATGGAGACCAAAATGCAGAGTTCCTTGAACATAGCGAAGAATACGCTTGACCAAGGCCATGTGAATGGATGTTGGACTATGCATGTATTGACTGACAAGATTTACGGAATAGGTAATGTCTGGTCGAGTTAAGGTTAAATATTGCAGAGCTCCAACAAGACTGCGAAAAAGAATTGGGTCAGTGGCAGTGGGACTTGACAAAGCAGTATCAACTTTTCTGGCCAAGGGTGTAGGTATAGGCTTACAAGTAGACATATTTGCACGAAACAAGAGTTCACTGGCATATTTTTGCAGAGAAAGAAGAAGTCCATGTGATGTGGGTTTAGCTTCAATACCAAGAAAATAGTGCAATGATCCCAAGTCCTTGATGGCAAAGGTGTCACTGGGCTGACAAAGAAAGATTTGGAGAAGGTTGGGATTATTTCCAGTAACAATGATATCATCAACGTAAAGTAGAAGAACAAGAGTACCACATGAGATTTTACACACATGAGATGGAAAATTAGGATCAATAAATCCCGGAGGCTAATCCATGTAAACTGGATCTTTCAAGTAACCATGCAAAAATGCATTTTTGACATCTAGCTGCCGAATTTCCCAATTACGAGATGCAGCTATGGTGAGAACAATACGAATTGTCTGAGGTCGGACAACAGGACTATATGTATCAGCAAAGTCAATATCAGAAATTTGATGAAAACCTTTGGCAACCAGCCGAGCTTTAAGACGATCAAGGCTTCCATCAGCATGAACTTTGGTTTTGAAAACCCATTTACACCCCCACAGCATTTTTGGATTCATGGCGAGGAACTAAAGTCCAAGTCTGGTTTCGTTGAAGAGTTTGCAATTTTTCGTTCATGGTAGCAAACCATCCACGATGAGCCAATGCCATTTTGACAGTCTGAGGTTCAAGTGGAAGAGTACTTAAAGAGGACGGTGTCACATGAATAAGGCCTGCTCTGGCCTTTCCTTCGGTGCGCATGGAATGAGTATTGGTGGAAAAAGGAAGAGAATTGTTGCCCTGTGGAATTGTACCAAGGTCTACATATAACTGTCCAGATGGTGTTGCAGCAGTAGGCGAACCTGGAATGCTATGTGGTGAACTTGGTGAAGATATGCCAGAGTTGACGATGTCCACCGAACAAGGTGATGATGAATGAGGCAATACAGGGGATTCCGAAGAGGGAGACGACACTGGTAAAGCTGGCTCAGTTGATACTTCAGGTGGTAGTGATGACGAGGACTCCAATATTCGACCAGCTGATGAGGATGTAGGAGGTTGTAAACATGCACCAGCAGATGGAAATGACAGAGGAGCTGTATTGGGATCTTCCAGAGAATTTAAGGTACTCCCCCTTGATGGTATTTGAGATTGTTCCTGCTGGGAGATTGAAGAGTTATCCAAGGGGTTAACCCATTCATGAAAGGTGTGAAAATTAGCCGATGTATTATCTAAGGTAGAAGAACTGGGTTTAGTTGAAAAGGGAAAGCACATCTCATTGAAAACCACATGTCTAGAAATGTAGATTCTTCCACTTTGAGGATGCAGACACCTATAGCCCTTATGAAGAATACTGTACCCAATAAAAATGCATGGTTGTGTTTTCTCTGAAAATTTGTTCTTGCTAGTATCCTTGATATATGGGTAACATTTGCACCCAAAAGCTCATAAGGAAGAATAATCAGGATCTTTGTGGTATAGGAGAGAAAAAGGTGTGTCCATGTTAATGGAAGTTGATGGCAGACGATTGATTAGAAATGCTGCGGTAGAGAATTCTTCGACCCATAGTCTCGTTGATAATCCTGATTGAAACAACATGGTCATAGCCAATTCACGAATATGTCTATGTTTGCGCTCGGCTACACTATTTTGCTCTGGTGTAGATGGACAAGAGATTTGCTGAAGGGTTCCCTTGTTTGACAAATCATGTAAGAATTGATTTTTTCGAAATTCACCACCTCCATCACATTGGAATATTTTTATCTGCTTGCCAAATTGGGTATTTACCATTGCAATATACTGTGTAAAACAAGCCATGAAATCTGATTTATGCTTAAGAGGATAAAGCCACCCAAAACGGGAGTAGTCATCCACAAAAAGAGCAAAGTATCTGAAATTCTGCATCGAAGTTATTGAGGCTGGTCCCCATAGATCACAGTGAACTTTATCAAAGGGAGAAAGGGATCTTATATTAGTATGAATAAATGGAAGTTTACAACTTTTTTCAAGCTAACAGCTTTCACATAAATCAAAATTATTGTTCCAAGAAATAACATCAATCTTATTTTTCCCACAGAGATGAGACAAAATTCTCTTATTTGGGTGACCAAGCCGTTGATGCCATACTTCTTCAGAGGTTTGTCTTTGTCGAATAGAGAACAATGCCTGCTGGTTACCAATAGAATAAAGTCCTTATGCTTTAGTTCCGAATGCCACCACCTTCTCTGTCAACTTGTTCTTAATAACAAACCCAGTACAGGAAAATTCAAACACATAAGGAGTATCGTTAGTTAGTTGTCCCACAGAAAGTAAATTTTTAGTGAGACTGGGAACCAATAATACACCATCAATTTCTAAATTTCCTTGATTAGTAAAAATAGAAGTACTCCTAACATGAGTGATGGGAAGATTTTCTCCATTCCCTATGATGACAGTATCATGACCATGATAAGGTTGGAGGTTTTGCAAAATACCTGAATTTCCTGTCATGTGTGATGTGGTTCCAGTATCAGGTGTCCATTCAGGGTTGCTGGGATTGGTAATTTGCATTGCGGCTTGAGCTTGTGGGATTTCTTCAAATTGGAAGCCATGGTTATAGCGATTATAGCAATTCATGGCATTGTGCCCTTGTTTGCCGCAAATTTGGCAAGGGATATGGTAACAATTTGCTATGGAACGGTTGGTTTATCCACACATGTGACATTCTTTTGCTTGTGATCCAGTTGTTGCCATACTTCCTTTGCAATCCTCTTGGTTCTGGGACAGGGTCTTTCTACCATAGGTTCGGTTTTGAGTAGTTTGAACAAACCCACGACCTTTGGAATTGAAAAACATAGATTTTCCTTTGTTTTTGGAAGCACTGTTATTTCCACTGCGACTATATGTCTGTTTCTGTGCAACAAAAGCTTGAAATTCGTTGATTTCTTCACTTCCTGGGTATAGTCTGTTTCTTGTTTCATAACCTGTTAAGGAATGGACAAATTGCGAGAAGGAAGGGAAAGGGGGTTTTGCCATGATAGCATTGATAAGTGGATCGAATTTGGCCCCTAGTCCATTCATAGCCCACATTACCTTATCAGAATCAGACAAGAGTTTTCTTGATAGCAGCGAGTTCAACACATATTTGTTTGAACCTAGACAGAAAAGCAGACACAGACTCATTAGACTCTTTACGAATTCTTTGAAGACCTCGGTAGAGATTAAATTCTCTTTCTTCCGACGTTGAAGCAAAGCTTTGCTCCAAAAAAGACCATACTTCAAGAGATGTTTCCATTCTAATTATATGGCTGAGGATACTCTCTGTAACGGTGCCAGAAATCAAACTTTTCAGCAACCGATCGATTTTTCTCCAAGCAGTAAAAATTGGGTTGGGTTCGTCCTTCCCTTCGGCATTCATAACAGTGGGTTTTCGAGGTTGAGACTCACCATTCAGGTTATCAAAGAGATTAGCTCGTATGACTAGATCAAGAACTTGACTCCTCCAAATTAAATAATTTTCAGCAGTGAGCTTTACACTCACCATGGCTGACAACTGAGGAAGAATTTCAAGCGTTAAAGAAGAGGCCATTTCTGAAGAGGTAGTGATTGGCTCTAATACCATGAAGAAATTAACAATAAGACTTAATCCTCTTCGTTCAAAAACATTGAGAAGAGATGCTGAGTTCTATTCATATATATACATACATTTGATACATGATCAGTTTACTTGAAAGGATAAACTATACACTTGATAAGAACTTTGATCGACTCTATCATGAAGTGATATATCTATGCTTAGTCCTTATCTTTATCACTTGAGATATCTCTAGCTTCATTATCCTTATCTTCTCCATGCTTTGTGTTGAGATCATGTGGAGTATTTATGTGACTAAGTGCAGGTGCTGCATCATGTGAACAGAGTCCAGCAGCAGGGGCTGCATCTAGTGAACAAAGGCCATGTCCAGCAGCAGGTGCATCACGTGAACAGTGTCCATGGGCTCTAATACGCCCATCTCTAGATTCTGCTTGAGCGTGAATAGTTTGCCCATCCCGATTACGTACCATGACCTCAAATATAATTGGGTTAATAGCAATTGGTACAAGAAAAAAAAATTTTACGGCGGTAAGATATTGTCATAAAAAGTTTATTTGCTGTCACAAATATTTTTTATGGTGGCATTATCTTGCCATAATAAGTGTGGTCTCAAAAGATTTTTATGGCGGCAAGATCCTGTTGTAAATAAGTTATCACAAAAATCCGACACTTTTGTTTTTATCACGGCGACAAAAGTGCTATCTCAAATACCATATTTAACTATCGTAAAAATAAAAGATATATTTATGACGGCAACGATGCCGCCACAAAAAAAAAAAAAAATTATTATTATGGACCGTTCATAACCAATAGTATATACCTTGTGCATATATACACTCCTTACAATTTTTTTTTTTTTGGTGGGGGAGGGGGGAAGGAACTTGAACCCTTAATCTCAAGAAGACAAAATTTTCACAATGTAAGGAGTACCATTAGACCAAAGACCAATTTGTATCCATATAACTATCCAATTTAATATATAAATAAACACAAAAGTAAATATAATCAGTATTTCCAAAAATATAAAAATATTTTCATATCCAAAAAAAAAAAATCTCACGAGTTAAACAAAATGTAAATTATGTACTTTTATAAAATATAACGATCTATTAGTACAAGAAATTAATACAAAAAGTTGAACATCCTTCTCGAACTATCTACTCTCTCGGTGACATCTAAAAAAAATATAAAATTATTGTTACAATACTGATATTTATATACATATATACAATCAAGAACTAAAAGAAGTTAGAATATACATCAATAGTGGGCCACGCAATATTTCTCTGAATGACTTGTCCAATTATGTAAATGGTCTATAAACGAGTCATATTGTATACATTTCTTCTAACTAGTTTCACTAATACATGATTCGTTTATAATCATATCATGACAGGTCTATTCATTTACTAAACAGGTGGCTAAAGGAAGATTCAAACATACTAATTTTATGTCGTATTAACGGGTTGTGTCATATTTTGGCACCCCTACTTTTGATATAAAAACTTGACTTTGTAGAGTTTAATTTTTTTTTTTCTTTGAACTAGAAATTGTTTTTTGATGTTAAACTACGTAATTTTATAAAATATTTCTTGTAACATGAAAAATAGTTGTGACCAATACAACTTTTTTTTAGAGTTTTTCTTCTTTAAATTATAAAATATTTTTTATTTTAAAACAATATTTTAATGTTTTATGAAATATTATATACGACGGGAAAAGTAGCTGCCATAAATATAAAAAAAAAATTTGAATTTATAAAATATCATTTGAGAAAGGAAAAACATATGTCTTAAATACAAAAATTTCTTTTGAGTTTATGACACTATTTACGACAGAAAAAATAATTGTCACAAATATTAACACACACGTTTTTTGTGACGACAAACACAGTTGACGTAAAAAATTTGTCACAAAATGCCCTTATTCTTGTATTGAATTTTTGTCCCTAGAGTATATATTTATTCTCAATATCAATTTTATCTTTAAAATATTCATTTCGTGTCAATTTGATTCCAACGTAACTAGATTGTTAAGTTTTTTAACAAAAATGACCACGTCATTTTTTTAGACGGTATCATGCACCCAATATGAAATCATTCCATCAAAAAACTTAACGGTCCGTCTATGTAAGGACCAAATTAATATGAATTGAATAATTTATAAATCAAATTGACAAAATTGAAATGATGAAGACTAAACTGATTAAAAATGCATATTTTATGAACTAAAAGTGCTATAAACTCGATATAATTTGTAAACAATCTTTTCCAAGTGTGAAACCAAATTCTGACTTTGAACCAAATTACCAATTAAGCGAACTGGTTATCTAGGTTACTTCGGTCATCAATCTCCGTTGCTGACTGACCCAATGGTCTCAAGACTGAACACATCTGATTCTTGTAATTATGCGAACACACTAATTCCCAACAATCTCTAATGGACGATTTTCGGATTATTCAATTCCGGATAGTTTGGAAATGCATAATTCAATGTCATAGTTAGTACTTAGGAGCCATTTGCTTTAGTGTACTCAGGGAGATTTCATCTGGTATATCCTCTTATTCCTGCCGTGGATAAAGGAGTAGGAATACACCTAGCTTTCGGTTTGTACTTGTTAAAATAAGGACGAGCAATGATATTAGGTTTTAATTTATTGATCTAATTTACTATAACCTTTAGATTAACTATGAGCTCCATCAAACATTGGAACTTGATACTTATCCAATGGTTCCAATAAAATCATGTCATTAGATCAGTAAATTATGTCAATTTTTTAGGTCCAAATAACATTTTCCATTTTTATATAGAAAATTTTATTTTGAACGTTTGTATGAAGTTCCTGCCAAATGTCCTGTGCATGTCCATTTCTTGGTTTCCTAAAGAATTTTTTAAAACCTGACAATCATATTCGTTTTCCTCTCTGACCAATTCATACTGTATTGCAATGCTCGATCACCATTGCATCAGAAACCTTTTTTGTACACCACGAAAGCTTCAGCCTGCTTCCATTTACAATTCAATCTTAGCCAGCAAATCCCACCGAAAACAGTTACAAGCCATCTAGAGGCCGAATGACCGATAATCGTATTCGCTGAAGAACTGTACTTTTACCACTTCCACACGGTTCATTGTAAATGTCGATAATGAAGATGAGACTCTTTCAATGCATTGGTGATGGGTCGGCACAAGGCCAGACTCTCTCTCTTTCTCTATAAAAGCAGCCCAAAGTGGTGTTTCTTTTGCAACACAATTCTCACCTCTGCTCAAAAACACATTTAGTTCCGTAAATATACAAGCTTTCAAATGGCATCACAGTTTCTTTTGTTAGGAATCTTGGCAATAACCTGTTCTGCTGCTTTGGCATCTGACCCCAGTCCTCTTCAGGATTTCTGTGTCGCAGACTCCAAAAGCCCAGGTATGTTGATACTTGTCTTTCTAATTTTTATTGATTTGTATTTAGTTTCTTATGATGTCTACTGCTTCGCTTCTTGCAGTGCTAGTAAATGGGTTGCTTTGCAAAGATCCCAAGATGGTACAAGCTAATGATTTCTCCTTTAACGGGCTTCACCTGACTGGCAACACTTCGAATGCAGTTGGATCACGTGTAACACCAGTATTTGTTGCTCAAGTGCCCGGACTCAACAGTCTTGGCATCTCCATGGCCCGAATTGATTTTGCACCTTGGGGTATCAACCCTCCACACACACATCCTCGGGCTAGTGAAATTTTAACGGTTCTTAAAGGTAGTCTGCAAGTAGGGTTTGTTACTTCCAATCCAGAAAATCATCTTATCACAAAAGTACTTCAGAAGGGCGATGTATTTGTTTTTCCTGTGGGTCTTGTCCACTTCCAGCGCAACATTGGATATTCTAATGCTATTGCAATTGCAGCTCTCGGTAGCCAAAATCCTGGTGTGATTACCATTGCAAATGCAGTCTTTGGATCAAATCCCGACATCCCTAGCGATCTTCTTGCAAAAGCATTCCAAGTGGATAAAAGCATTATCTATAAGCTTCAGTCGCAGTTCTAAGACAAACTATTTGAACAACTTCTCAAGAAGATTGATAAAAAAAGTTTTGAACTGAACAATTGGTTTATGTACGTCTAGCAAGTGATTAAGTTGATTCTCCATGTTTACTGATTGGTTTCTTATTCCATTGAGTAATGAAGGTTGATTATGATCAATGCAGATCACGTTTGAATATTTATGCAATTATTGTTTCAGTTTAAGTTGTGCTTTTTTAGCTCCCCAAAAAATCTTCTGTATACCCCTTTGTTATGAATGAATTCCACTTTACAAAAAACTGATGTATGCAACGCAGGATCCTCGTTTTTCAAGTTTTTTTCAATTGAAAATCAATTTAACTCTACATAAGCTATTGAAGTTCTTCCTTGTGCCATACCAAACAGAGTGAAATAGTTCATTGGGTTTCGGCATATGGAGTTATAGAACTGTACAGTTGTGAATTTGCAATCCGAAGTAAAAGCAACCAAGAATAATTAATATAATGAGTTGCATAGTTCAGTGAAATTCCTCCTATGTCAACAGGAGTTGATTTCATTATACGATAATTCTAATTGAGTTAAAACTTATTTATAAGTAGTAGTAGGGTCAATCACATAAAATCTAATCACGGCAAACCTCATATGGCAGATTTAAAAAACAAATTCATAATTGCGTTCATGTTCTACTTGCCTAAGTTATACTCAATGACCATCGGAAGTTTTGTTGGAAAAAATGGTTTTAAACAAATTATTTGAGCCAATTGAAGCTTAAATAAAAGTGTGACCTTGTAGATGGATAATGTGTCAATGTGTTACCTTGTATATTTTCTATAACAAGTTTGACTATCTTGAATATGAGTCATTCATTGTTTCCAACATGACTGTTATGAAAGATGGGTAATTTACCATAAGTAAATGTGTTACCTGGTAGATGGATAATGTGTCAATGTGTTACCTCGTAGATGGATAATGCATTAGACACCATGTGTTATAAAGTTATGATTCAAAGCAGAAGTAAAAGAAAGTTAATATTCCAGAATCATTAATAAGGTATGTTTGTTTGGAAAATGTTTGTGGCGTTTCCAGTATATATCAAATGGCATTGACAGAACCATTGATCATGATAACCGCATTCGATTTTGGGCCCAAGCCATATTCCCAAGAGTCAATTATCGTCCAGAATTGGTAATGGACATAATTTTCCCTGTTTTCAGAATTTCAAACAAAAAGTAATAAACTGGAAGTCACAGGGAAGTAGGAGGTGCCAGAGACGCTATATGGATGTCTTTGGAGTCCTATTGATGCATAACACATAGCGGAAGATTACATGACATACAAAAAGCATATGAAGTGGTGCTGATCTGAGCGTTGATTGGGACAAATTTAGCCTATAGTGTCAGAAACAAATTGCTCAAGATTGCAATCTAGAAAGTCCTTAGCGACATCTGCAAAATTGAATATT